CAAGTCAACCAATTCAAGAACAACTCAAAACACCTCTGAATTTTAGGAAAATCATAAAATTAAGAACATCTTTTGGGTTAGTTCTCAACTGATTCTTGATCTTGGCAACATGTTTTGGCTAATTTTTGAAGTCGGAATCCTAAAATTAAGAACCTCCACGTTTTGGGCTTCAACCTTAGAATCAGAATAGCACATAATCACAAAAGAGGTAGCACTTAATTGTTGCCAAGTCAAGATTACAAGAAAGGTGACAAGTTAAGATTTAAGCCATGGTACATACCTTTGTTCTTCAATACATAACAAAACTATATATAGCACTTTTTTTTTTTCTCCTTTTGGGACATAAGCAAAGACAAAAGCAACACAGAAATTAGAGCTTACAAAGCATGAAAGTTATAAAATAACATAAAGGGTCAGCAAATTTCGTACCTTTAGTTGTTTAGAAGAGGTGGGAATATCAGGATTAAGAAGAAAATCAGAATCAAGTTCTTGCTCTATCTCTCCATCACCTAATTGATCATAAGTCAAGTCATCATCTATAGCAGCTGCAGCCATTTGATCAGCTTCTTGATCAGGAGTACTAGCCATAATTGCACTTCTTGATTTCCTTAAATTAACGTCTGAGGTGCAAATTAATCTCTACTTAGTACTAGGAAGCAAAAGAATCATCAAGAATAAATATAGCAGAAATTGTACTTGAGATTTAAAAAAAAAAAAAATAAAGGCAAAAGAGAAACTATGAAGAGGAAGCTAGAGGGCATACGACGCGTGGATTACATGTGTTTTGCTTCTTCGGCTTCACGTGTCTTCTGGGCTAGTACAGCACAACACCGTCGCTACGAGATATATAATATAAACTTTTTGATGGATGTAATCATGTTGTAAGCTTTGTCCACAACTTCTACTTCATATATTTTTTTAAATTTTTTGTTCAAAATTATTTTGGGTTAATTACATTGATCGCCCGTAAAATTTGACAAAATTCCAAAAATCTCCCATGCATCGCTACACCTTGATTATGTTTCCCTCATTGTATTATATTCCATCTATCTCACTTTGATATTCTTGTTTTTATTTTTCATCCATCTCAAATTATATTTCACTTTTTGTTGAAAAATATACTAATTAACTTTTAATTTATCTAAAATACCCTTATTTAATGTACTTTTACTGTCAGTGAGTGTAATCCACCTTATTCAATAATTGCTCTGATTCATGCCTTGAATAGTGCAATTTTCTATTTAGTATTATTATTATAATTAAAATAAAGGTATAATGATTAGTCATACTCCTAATATTAGCATAAGGGTATTTAAAAAATAGTAGGTTAGATTTACTCTTCCAACAAAGTTAATTAATTTTTCTTAAATTATGTGAAAAAAAAACAAAACTATCAAAATGGGATGGTGGGAGTATTATATGCAAGAAGATTTTTAAATTGGCATACATATTTTTGTTGGATAATTTAACCAAGAAGGGCAGTCATTATAAATTCTATAATTTGGAAAACTACTTGAGAAATCTTCACCTTTAATTAAAAAAAAAAAAAACTTAGAGGGGCAGCATTTTACATCTTGGAAGTTCAAGAGGAAAAGCTTATGATGTCCCTTTTTAAGGTACTCAATCCACTACCTAAATATATAATGAGACTAGGGAGCACCCAAAGTGAGAAAAACGTAATGATTAGAGAGCTCCATCCTCCTTTAAGTCGTCTTAATTTTGAGTAAAGATGAATCTGGCTTGGCAAGTTAATTATAGATTCAATATGATACTCAAGTAGGCTCAACTACATTTATGCCACACTTTTATGTCTATTACCACATACATCTATTTTCACTCAGCAATGTATTTTGAATGGGCATAATTCCCATCTACCAAGTTCATAAAAGAATGAAGAAATGATGCCCAAAATCCCTTTTCATGGTAACCGGAATTGGCACAAATCTACCACGATCATAGGAGTATATGTTACAAATTCACTGTCTCTGGCATTAGATGTGAATAACAATTAGAACAGATACCAGCAAAGACTTGTAAAATGCACTTGGTAAAACTTATTGCGCATTTTGCTTTGACACATAGTAGTATGTTTTCCACCGAGTAAAGATTAAGCGTAAGTAAGGGTAATTTACCAAACATGATTATCAATCCAAGAAGTTTCCTAGACTTGGTATATCAGAAGTGAGAAATGACTGGCGTTTTGATGGTTGCATGATATGATTGATTCTTGACCAAAATCATTGAGATTAATAAGTTAAGTCGGTCTCCAATCAAGGTGAAGGTTGTTATGACGCATTTATTAGACTAGTAGTAAATAAATTTTCTGTTGTCCTGCTTGAATTTGAGCAAGCACATGCAATAATTAACTACACTTTTATATCCGACAAAATTTTGTGTCAAGTAAATCATGGCAGGGTCAGAACTAACAAGTAATGAAGCTGGTGCGAGGGTAGTTGTAGATGAATCCAGCAAGGTACCAGGGAAAAAATTGCTGTACAATAAGGGTCATTTGTTATTATTATTTTCCTTCAAGGATCATTACAAGGATAAAAACCAAATTTCAGGAAAAGGGCAATGAGTTTTGGTGATTGTGGAGTTAAGGGTCAAAACACTAATGAGTTAGAGTTAGACAGTGGATTTATTTGATTCATGCGTTTAAAACTTTATCTTGAGATAAAATGTAATATTAGATATTGCAAATTGATACTCTAAATTGTAAGAAAAGAGGGATATAACCATATCTTCAAGCAGCCACGGATTTAAGGGGGGGCTGGTGGGGGCTTAAGCCCCCCCCCAAGCCGCCGGAAAACCCCCTATATATAGGGGATTCCGGCGGCCAGCCCAGCCCCCCCACGGTGAAAGGAGATAATGATAATGCCGGACAAACATAATGACTTGGACATGTCTCTGTATGAATCAATTCCTTTGCTCTATTGGTCGTTAGTTTCTTTCTACTTTTGATGTCAAGTGCATAACTAGCGGTAGATTAGGAATGCAGGGCCGGATAGATTTTTCTCCCCTCATTTCAACGGAGCAGGTTATCAATATAAAAATTGAACAAAAATACAATGATCTATATATTGTTTTATACATATATATACATTTATACATAAACACATTATTATTTAATTATTTTTTAGTTTACTTCAATTTTTTTACATTGTTTAAACATAATGATTGTAAGTTTAGATTTCCTATTAAAAGTAGAGAAATGAATTAAAAAAAGATCAAAGTGATTTTTAACCTTGATTTTACATTGAATATTCAGTTAAGAATTTTAAAAAATAATTTATAATGTTGTTATTAATGTTTTATATACATAAAAAGTATAATTACACAATAGTGAGGGCACCCGTAGGTGTATAGGCAGGGTATATGGATAGAAAAAGCGGGGAACTGGGCCAGGGAGATTTTAGAACATCGGATCGAAGAGGGATCCCACACCCCATTGCCATCAAATGGCAGAATTTTCCCAATTCGTTGCTATTATAAATAAAAAGAATTTTAAAAGCACGGGACGGGAGAGGGATCTCCTGCCCTATAATTGCCATCCCTACGACAGAATTTTTCCAACTGCTTCTGTTGAAAGAGTATTTTCTGCAATGAATATTGTCAAGACTGATTTGCGCAACAAAATGGGAGACGAGTGGATGAATGACTGTCTGGTTGTATACATCGAGAAGGATATTTTTGCAACAATTGAAAATGAGCAAATATTGCAGCGTTTTCAACGGATGAAGACTCGCAGAATGCAATTGCCTCCTCTTCGTTATTCGAGTGCAACAACTACCAATACTTCAAGTGTTAATCAATAACAAATTTTTGGGTATGTATAATTATATGTTTTTATTATTTTTATAATTATTGATTCTAAATTTTACTTATTAAATATATTTATTTCGTGACAAAAAAAATTTTTTAATACACTTCAGCCCCCCCAAAAATAAATTTCTGGCTCCGTCCCTGTCTTCAAGCAGATAAGCAGTCATCTTTGCTAGATATATATATATATATATATATATATATATATATATATATATATATATATATATATATATATATATATATATATATATATATATATATATATGGCGTAGCATGATTCATTGATTGCTCTCATTTGGGACCCTTGATATGAATGAACCATCAATTGCTATCACCCTATCTTTTGATCCCAAAACTTGAGCAACATGTTATTGTTGCATTATTGCTCGAAGAATATCCCTGTTTGGATTGCATTTTTATGGATTCTTTTTATAGAAAAATTATTGCAACGATTTGATATATGTGAGATAAAAAGGTGATTGAGAAATGTGTTCACAAAAAACGTATCAATTTCTCTTTGAAAAATTGCTGTCCAAACAAGAAAAAAAACAGAGAATAAATGAAGAAGAAATTACAAATGGATGCTTGAAAATGAAGAAGAAAAACAGAGAATAAATGAACTCTGGAATGCTTTTTCTCAAGGGATTAAAACTGAATTCAATGAATTGAAAGTTGAAAGAAGAAAAATTAATGACATCAACTTTGACCCCAAATGACAAAAACTGATCTATATATTTCTGATGTGGCATAATCTTACTGGATACACCAAGATACCAAAAAGAATATTAGGCCAGAGTAACAATAAGGCCAAAAAAAAAACAATAAGACCAAAAAGACCCCTGACGAGCAGCTCAGACGTCTGATGAGATATTGGGATCCAAAGCAAGAACACATCTTCGCGATATCACCTTCTGAAGTGAATCTCCCCAAAACCCAATTTCACACACTAAACACTTGCAGACTCACACATACACAATACACTACTATGTCCTAGATTTATATATAGGAGTAGTATAATATATATAGATAGTAATTTTGTTATGCTAACTTTATGGCATTCCCCTCCTCACTCTCCATTTCCTCTTCTCTCTCCTCGAGCACATATCTGATTTCTTCAACGCTTCCATCATTCAAGAGCAAGCCAGAACAGAGCCAACAACACAAGAAAGAAACGTATACTAATAAAAAATGGGAAAAATTAGTCATCAGTCAGCGGTTCATGATTCTCACGTCCCATCTCTCCTCGCTCCTTACCATTCCTTCAATCTAACTCTTGTATAACTGCTACCCCTTTATACGAATCTCTCGCAGTATTCCATTTTTCTTCATATTATTCATGCATCCCATTCGTTGCCTCCCTCAAACTATAACCACCAGTCCACCACCATATTGACATTTTACATCAAGATTGAATCTTTCCACCCCATTTCTTCCATTTTTTTAGACCCTTTACCAAATCTTCAAGAACCCATATTTTAATTCTCAAGAAAAAGACGAGATTCTTGCTTTGTTGATTTTTTTTTTGGAGAAAAAAAAAACCCATTTTTTAGTTCTACTGAAAAGGCCAGCCATGACAGAGGTACTCCACTCGTCTTCCTCCTCTTCTTCTCCTTCAATTTCCACCCCAACCGACAATGGGACATTGTTTCAGTCTTTTCTGAGAAGAAGAGAAGAAGAGGAAGAAGAAATTATTGCTAGAATTACCGGTAGTGAGGGGGAAAGTGAAGAAGAAGGAGGAGAAGTGAAAGAAAAAGAGAACAAGGAGAGAAGGGATCATCAGCTGTCTTTACTAGCTTTTCTGGTGACATTGATTAGGAAAAGTTTTTGGATGGCTTGCAAGACTACTACTGGCGGTGGTGGAAGAGAAGAGCTTGGTAATAGAGGCGGAGGTGCTGCAGGAGGGATGGAGATTGGGTGGCCTACTAATGTCCGCCATGTTGCACATGTCACCTTTGATAGGTTTAATGGCTTCTTGGGTTTGCCTGTTGAGTTTGAGCCTGAAGTCCCCAGAAGGGCTCCTAGTGCTAGGTACATTCTTTCTTTCTTTCTTTCTTTTCTTCCTTCTGGTTATTTATCTATCCTGAAATGTGGACGAATTTTCTTTTTCTTGGATTTTGGAATTCTCCATTTGTAATTTGTGCTGTTTGTTCGTGTACGTGTGCATTTTGGGTTCAGGGTCTTGAACTTGTGAGTCTTTTTTGTTGGTGAATTGTTAGTTGTGTTTAATAGGAAATTTTGGAATTGGACAAAATAATTTTTGTATCAATGAGCACTTGTGTAGCTGATTCTTTTATTGAACGTTTACTAGCTTGATGGTTTTTCTTGAACGCAATTCTGTAAATTTAGGTTTTCCTTGCTGCTGTTTAACTGGCTGTACGTTTTGCTTATGATTCTATCAGTTCATTTGGCACATTAGATATATGACACAAAAGTTGGAGTACTGGTTCTTCCAAATTGAGATCTAGCTTCAGTCAAATGGTCTAGGGACTGAAACTTATATGCGAGTAGAGCTTTATAAGTAAAAATTTGTTGGTTGAACACCTTTTATGATACTTCAGTAATTTATTTCTCAATTTTAATGTGGGTTAAGGTATATGGGAAGGTGTGGACTTGCTATACTTTACCTCTGAGATATTAAAAGACAGGATTGATTAGTTTTCCTGCATTGAGTTTCTTCTCAAACTGTAACTGGAAAAGATGTTTCCAGAAATATGACCAGAGTTTCCTTATCTTGAAAAAGAAGATAAGCTGGAGTTAGGCTTAAACCCTGGCTTCTACTAATCTATATGCTTATTCTACTGTGTTTGTGCCAATTTGCTTTCTGAGAGAACTCATCTTTTGCTGTAACCAAAAAATGATTTCCTGTCAAAACTGCGTTTATCCATCTTCTTTTTGTGATGAGATACAATATGTTCCTCCACTTTGAATCAGTGCATGAATCTACTTGTTCATTTGTGCTTTTGTTATCCTCTAAAACAAATCTGTATCTGCTAAGGGAGCATTTAATTTTGCTTTCTGCTGTTCTCTGTTCTTGTCCATTCAATATGAGTTATACGTCAACCTCCAATTGTGTATCAAGTAATTTGGTAGATGTCTCGAACCTTTCTTTTGTTGCAAGTGATAATGCACAAAAGTAGTTTGTATATCCTTCCTCGTCTTGTCTGTGAGCTACCAAATAACTCCCTTGTTATGTGCATTAGGAAAGTGTTGTCTATAAACTGATATTCATTGGCCAGAATGTGCATTATCTCATTCCCCTGGGACACTACTGTTTTCTGGACCTTACAACCTTGCTTGGACCAAGATGGGGCACCTGCATATTTGGATCTTTCAGATCAAGGTGTCCTTCATTTGTTTCTTTTTAATGGCAAGCAGGATTGGCATGGGATAAGCCCATTATGTGAAGGTTAACTGGAGACCCTTTTCTTTGGTGAACTCTCTTTTTGAAGATTGACCTAATTTTCTAGAAACAGGTGAGAAGATACTAGTTGATATTTTGAAAAGTTGGATCTGCTTTAGTTTGCAAATGACTTCTGGTACTTGCCCAATCTCAATTTTGGCAAATACCAAATACAAGGGGGAAGAGAGGAAGAGGTAGGGAGAGGGAGGTAGCTTCAGTGGAAAAGTGGGTTCTTGAGATAAAGGTGTTTATGTTTCTATTAAGAGCTGCATATCTGGTATATATGAGCATATGCATTTTCAGAAACTTCCCATGTCTGGATGCCTGCCTTGGCTGGTTTGATCTTGCGTTTATGTATGACAAGTTTGTAATGCAATGTGTGTTATCCACCGGTAACTCATGTATTCATGGATAGAATTTAGAGCTATTTTATAGTATGCTGTTTGCTTATCTTTATATCAGTTGTAAATCTCTTTAATCATGCACCAAGCAGAATATAATCTGGACTTGGTTCCTTGGGGTGTCCAGAAGTTAACATCTTTATTTTCATTCCTACATATTTGTGATGTTTCAATGTGTAGTTTACATCTTTGAGAATCCATTTTAAGTGTTAATCATTTTCTTAGCATGAGTGTGTCCTCACTGTTAGTGACTTTTTGAACTTGAACCAACAGTGCCACTGTTTTTGGAGTTTCCACAGAATCCATGCAGTTATCATTTGACTCCAGAGGGAACAGTATTCCAACAATCCTTTTACTTATGCAAGGACGTTTGTATGCTCAAGGTGGCCTACAGGTGAAGACTTTTTGTTAGGATCTTCTGTTTCATTCATGAAATACATTTCTCTGTATGGCTAGTAAGCTCTCCACAACCTACCCTTTAATAAAATTCACAAGCTTTGAAGTTTAACTTTTCAACTTATGCAGGCAGAAGGCATTTTCAGAATAAATGCAGAAAATAGCCAGGAAGAGTATGTGAGGGACCAACTAAACGGGGGAACTGTTCCGGAAGGCATTGATGTTCACTGTTTGGCTGGCCTAATCAAGGTGCACCTCAAATGCATTTGGTATTCTGTTATTTAATAATGTCTTGTTCATGATGGCATTAATGGGAAAGCTAGGATGAATGTACATTAATGAAATTTTTATATGTATATTTACCTCCGTTTTTTCAGTTTCTCCAATGGCTGTTTAACTTTATTAGAGGGATATTTTGCAATCATCCTGACCTCAAAATATGAGTAGATATGACTGCCATATCCTTTTTTAGTTATAACTTTGCTTCTTCTGTTGGACAATATTAATGGGAGTGCATATTTATATTACAAGTTAGTAGATATGGATGGTTTATGTTAAGATCATTCGTGTTTATAATGATACATATCTTGTTAAAGGCATAACCTAGATCATACAGTATTGAGACTGACAGAGTGCTTGAGCCATTGATATCTATCCTAAGTGTTATCAAGCAGTTAAAAGTTGAACTAACCTGACAACCTGGTATATATTACTTCTTCTATTTTTTTTTTCCCTATATGCTAATAAACAATTACAAACCTTTGCTGGCCTTTTCGTTGTAATAAAGGTTCCCGCTTATTGTTCTTGTTTGTATTCTGGAAATGAAGCCCATCTGAATTACCTCTCATTTTTTGTGAATAAATTTGGGGAATTCTAGCTTGTTAAGTACTTCTCCATTTAGTGTATCATACATTTAATGGAATTACTGATTCTATTGGCCTTTGCTATACATGTATTCTTAAGTAAATATGTTCATTTCCCTGTGATTGTGTTTTGCTGTATGAAATCTTATATACAGAATTTTGACACAGTGTTTTGATACTCGCATTATGCAATAAGCTCCTTGATATAGCACATCCAACCTTGAAAGTTGTAATGTGTTAATTCGATTATTCTGTACCCTAGTGTCAGCTCATGCCTTTTATGATAAACTGAAGTATAACTTCTTTGTAATTCATCACCATACTGATGATTATTGTCAGTAACTGAATGATAAAGACCACCCAGAGTCCCATTAGCTTATTGACCAACAATGAAATTCTGCGCTAAGATGGAAGTTCAACATCTTAGGTAGTATCAATTAATCATCTTTTTGGGCTCAGTTTTGGGCATTAGGATGGAGATTGTTGGTTATGCAGAATGTAATTAGGTGAATATGTGGACTTTCATGATTAAGCATTAGATATGAAATCTAGATTATAAATCTCTACCAAATGAATTCTACTTGTAATCTGCTTCTGTTTTTTAATAGAGTACGAAGATTGTTTCAAATTTTCTTTTGTCTTCTTTATATCTGGGTTTGATGATTATATTCATTCCTGAAAGATCTCTCTCTCTCTCTCTCTCTCTCAAGTGTCTTTGGAGCAGAAGCAAGAAGAAATTCATCTTCTTGGGCCAGTCCAAATATCTTAAACAGTTGCATAAAAATGGATTGACTATATGCTTTGGAAAAAGATCTGTGTTTGGAAAAATTCTGATTAGTTGTACTTGCTTTTGAGTTTGCAACAGTTACTCTTTGCTCAGTAGGCATTTTATTTTGCTAACCCCATTGACTAGTAGTCACTGCAAGTTTTAGGGTTGACTTAATTTTCACATGATCCTGCAGGCTTGGTTCAGAGAACTCCCTAGCGGTGTATTAGACCCTATTTCACCTGAACAGATTATGCAATGCCAAACAATGGAGGATTGTGCAGCACTGGTGAGGCTTCTACCCTCATCTGAAGCTGCTCTACTGGATTGGGCAATCAACTTGATGGCAGATGTCGTTCAATTGGAACATCTAAACAAGATGAACTCACGCAACATTGCCATGGTATTTGCGCCCAATATGACGCAGGTAATGTTCTTGCAGCTACTTATCTTTTATAATGCTGTAAATTTTGATGGCATTAGGATGAGCATCTAATTTAACTTTTTTTTTTTTATTAAATCAACTTTGCTTCCTTTTGGTTATTGTGATTTGTATTAAGTTAATGATTCACTTTTCTCCACTGCATACCTGAAAACATACTTTGTTCTACTTAAAGAAAAGGTATAAGAATCAAATCTTAGTTTTTGTCCATTGGGGAACTAAGCTTCCAAGGCAGAATTCTTCACACACAAATGTCAGATGCTATGACAATATACCACTTCCAGGAAATTTGTTAAGCTTAAAAGGGAAAAACTTAGTGAGACCAACTTAAAGATACTTTTAAGAGAAGGAATGATAATTTTAGACCATTTCTATCATCTCTATGTGTGCATTACTATCTCATTCTGGCCCAGCCATAAGAATTTTGACAGCAGCATCATACTTGAAATTATGCATCTCTGAAGTGACAGTAGGGAGTTATAATGGGCATTTGTAACTGTTCCAACTCCACTGTACCTCCCAAAAAGAAAAAGGAAAAAAGCAAAACCTGTCCGAATGTTAACATATTTATGGTGACCTTATCTATATGGTGAGTTTCGCTAATCATACTTTTGCTCTTCTTGAATTTATTCTTAACATTATCCTTTGTTCCTTTTTAACTGAGTTGATTCTTTTTAATTCTTTTTCCTTCTGCAGATGGCTGATCCATTGACTGCATTAATGTATGCAGTCCAAGTAATGAATTTCCTCAAGACTCTTATTGAGAAGACCTTAAGAGACAGAGAAGATTCGGTTGTAGAACAAGCTTCCATGTTCCACCGTGAACCCTATGATGAGAATGGACATCAGAGTCCAGAGGTTTGTGTGGAGGATGCTACTGAGTCAAATGAAGAGCCCGAACCTTTGTTTGTGGCTGGAGAACCTGAGCCAGATAGTGCTTCTGAGTGTCAGCAAGTAGATAACATTAGCGTTGAGGAGTATGTCAGTTCTTCAACTTCTCCTGAAGAATGTTCTGATGAAAGTGTGTCTAGTGGAACTCCCATTGGTCCCTATACAGCAACCAATCTAGCAAGTGGTCCAAGGAATGACATCAAAGAGAGCATCCCAGAAAGCAGAACTGGCCAGTCCAGTGATTCCATTCAGATGAACTGTACTAAGAGAACAGAGGAGCAGCATATGGTGGCTCTAGCTATTGGAGTTCAGAATAAGAGCAAAGGAATCAGCAATTTGAGCCGTATAAACTCCCTGACAGAGAGAATTGAAGCCTGGCGTTAATGATGCCCAATAACTTAGCAGAACTGACTTCATGATGAAACAGTTCTGCGTTCAGTTTGATACTTTGATATGTGAAAAATTGTGAATTACCATGTAGTGCTACTCAGTGGTTTGCGACAGCAGTTTCACTTCCAAGCGTACACTTCTTAATAGCTTCTATCCTGAACATCAAGAAAATGATTTTCATGTGTTTGGTTTCAGTTGGCATCCACGGATGTCAGCATGAGATGGATGATGGTGCTTCTTCTGGAGCCTAGTCCGCAGTTTTCCCTTAAGATTTCAAAGGCAAATTCTCATATCATTTTCTTGTGGATGCTGGTTGTAGTGCATGCATCTTTTGATGCACCAGGACCACATCAAAGATATGGATGTTGTTTGCACCACTACTATCTGATGGTGGTAAATTTTCAAGCCAATAACACTGGAAAAGCAAAATATCCTGTGGATTTTAGATTCTCACTAGCTGCCTCAGTAGCAATCCTCATCCTTGGATTCTTTAGACAGCCCAGAGATCTGAAAGATCCAGCAGGGTGGCCAGTAGTTGTTGACCAATATGGAATATTCTTTAGGCACCGGTGCTATAGACTTGGATTCATCAAAGCCAAGGATAGGCAACACTAAAGCCAATATAGCATACTTTTCGTTTGTCATTTTGGGTAGAGATGGAACTTCGAGAAGCCTAATGCACATAAAGTTCAAATACTCCATTTCTTGAATCTACTAGATGGGAATATTACTGGGATCTGATGGTAATTGAAACTAATGGTGTCGGTCGTTATATTTTCTTTTTTGGGACGACAATCCATCTATGATGTAAAGTAAACTGTAGTGACCATCAAAATTTAGCTCACAAAACAGGTTCAAACAGTCGAGGATCACATCAAGAAAAATTGACTTGATGAAGCCTTTCATGACTCAGTACTAACATCCATCCTGATAGGGAAAACTTGGGAGGTGGGAGTTGCTGATATGCTAAGAAGTGTTCGTTGTGGTTTTGGGGTTTTAACAGATCACATCAGTATGCTCTGTAAAGCATTCTGCAGTGCCAGTACAGATTAGGAGTTGCAATAAAGTTGCTGAGCTTGTGATCCCATTTATAGCACAGCCCTCTTTGCAAATATCATTCATCGTCTTCAGTGGTTTGCTAACTGCTTTTTAAACCTTCCATTCGCACTCCCAATATGTGTACTAAGTAGATGCAAATGAGGAATTCTTTAACCTTCACACGCAAGCAAATGGATTACCTATGAAAGGAGAAGAACTCCAATTTCGGCTAAGATAAGATTTTTATGCCAGAAAAGAGTACCATTTTGCCTTTGCATGTAGAATTCAAGAATATCTATTATTTATCTATTTATCTATCTCTTTATTACCGTTATAAAGATACCATGAGTGTTGGTGTTTTGAATGTAAACATCATTAGGGTCTTAGTTTTCCTTATCCTCGTTATGTCCTTATTAATTGATTGAAGTATCATATATTGCCCTTATTATGTAATAATCATGACAAAACACTATGTGATGCGTGTTGGTTTAGAAGTGTTAAATAAGAAGACAAAAGATCATCAATGACGAAGCAATGGATAACCTATGTACGGAGAAGAACTCCAATTTCGGCCAAGATAAGATTTTTATGTTAGAAAAGAGTACCATTTTGCCTGTGCATATAGAATTCAAGTCCTTGTTGAATTCAAGAACATCTATTATTTATCTATCAATCTCTTTATTACCATTATAAAGGTACCATGAGTCTTGGTATTTTGAATGCAAGCATCGTTAGGATCTTAGTTTTTCTTATTATCATTATGCCCTTATTAATTGATTGAAATATCATATTATGCCCTTACTATTTAATAATCATAACAAAAACACTATATGATATGTGTTGGTTTAGAAGTGTTAAATGAGAAGACAAACGATCATCAATGACGAATGAGAAGAGTAAAGGTTAAATTGAGAATTAAATTCACTGTATTATAGCATATCGATTAAGAAAATGAAAAAAAAGAGGCTAGAATAATTCAAAAATACTAAAACAAAAGGGTTTTTTTTTTGAAGGAAACAAAAGGTTTTTTTTTTTTTTTAAACTGCAATTAACCTTTCAAAATTGTGCTCAATGCACCTTTAGCAGATACTAGTAGTTCCTATATCTATGCGTATATTGTGTAACTTTCAATGATGCTATGTTACAATCTTTCAGATATTTGGCACGCATAAAACGTTGGTATATGCCAAATGTTATCATCTGGCAGGAAAGATAAGGCAACTGGTGATTTCTTTACAGTTTCTACACAAAAACTGTGACCACCAAAATTCATCCAAAGTTTGATAACCACCCATCCTTGTTCCACTCCTAAGTTAGAGGCACCCTGAAACCAGCATCCCCAAATAAATGGCAACTTTCCACTCTTGACTTTATCAGCAGAACCATGCCCTTCCCGTGCATGTCTCCCTCTTAGGCTTTGCTGTTTGCTCTCTTATCTCTCTCTTTTTTTTTTATCTCTGATGCATAACTCTTTTTGTGCTTAGTCCTGTCATGTTTTCTTTCTCGAACCATCTTTTCCACAAGACAGTGGAAAGTACAAACTATGGCTACGGCCTGTGGAAGCCTTCAACACATATTTGACAGGCCATTACCAGAAAGTCCAACTCTACTTGAGCCCTTTCCTTCATGGAAACAGATTAAAACCATGAACCCAATCCCAGATTCTTCTTTTGCAGAGATTTTTGGAGAAGTACATTTCAAGGAGAATGAAGTTGTTGAATCTGTTGAGTCCCCCTCTTCCTCTTCATCTTCTCTTGATCTCCCTGCTGAATCATCTTCTTGCTCATCCTCATCGTCACCGTCATCGCTGTCCTCTTCATCATTGTTGGCAGATATATATCAACAAAATAGGATTGAAAGTCCACTTGACAAGGAGGATGACAGCAGCAAAAGCCCCGCATCAAGCTATTGTCCAACGCCAAGCCACGAGAAATATTACAAGCACAGTAATAGCTTTTCTTCCGTGAATTCGGAGAGTTTATCATTATGCACGGAGGGTCTTGGATTTGAAAGCTCTGACGATGTGGAGGATTTGGGAAATGAGACTAGTTTTGACATTCAGCAGGAGCACCAGCCCCCAGAGGAGAAAATATGCTTTTTTAAGGAATCAAAAAGGTCAAGAACAATTAAAGGGTCATTTCCTCCACCAATTTCTTGTATAGGAAGGACAGGAAGGCCTTGGGTGTCTTTTAGATCATATAGACAAGACGGCAGGTTTATTCTTCAGGAGATTAGATTTCCGACTCAAGAGTTTCTGCATGCATGCAGAGAAGATGGACGTTTGAGGTTGCAGCTTATTCAATCAGATGATGAAATTCTTGAGGGTGAGGAGGATGAGGAAGATGAAGAGGATCATTATGATTCTGAGGAAGTAAATTTGGAAAACGATGGTGATGATAGCGATGATGAGCATGAGCACCGTTAGAATATTGCAGACAGAAGAGAGATTGAAAGAAATGATGCTGGAAAGCATGTTCTAATCAGGACCAACAATAACCAAGATAGCTCACAAAATAGGTAGAGAAGCTCCCAGTCTTGTTTGATTCTTTCTGCAGCCAAAACTTCCAAGTTTGCGGCATGTTTTTGTGATCTTAATTTGGAAATAAATAGAATATTGATATAGGCAGATGGTGAATTCACCTTTAGATTTTCCAGCAGACAATTTTTGTTTCTTTATTTTCTCATTTATTTCTTTGCAGTATTTCATTCTGCCATATCTCCTGGATTATTCTAACTCCTATCGGAAATGTATTCGTGATTTCTTGCCTGCATCTCTTCCTCAACTCAACGTACAAGAAAAAAATTAATCAAGATTGATCAGAAGAGTGTTAATAGCCAAATTCAAGAGCTTGTTGTGCCTGAGCAGTAATCATAAGTGTACTCTGATTAAGTTTTATAACCACATGTAAACATCAAGTGGTAGAAGCAAGCTGAAATCTTAAAAAAGGGGGAAATATTTAATCGTGAATTCAGAAGCCTGCTTCCCATACACTTTGGGAATAAACTATTGCAGCAGTCAAGTTCCTTCATATCAAAAATTTGAATTTCTCTTTTTTCTCCCCTTTCTTGATACAGTAGTTCTTGATATTATTTGTTTTTCCAATTCCATATTTCCCTTTCTAGGATCCACCACAGAGAGGAAGAAAAGCCAAAAAGCATGAAAAAAACGGCGTAAGCCAGCCCAAAACTCGGTATCCTTTCTTCTGATGGAAAATGAAAATCACAGACACTTCATCCTATATCCAACCCCAGCTATTCAAACTTTTGCAGCTGAAAATGAACAGGAGCAGTGTTGAAATATTAGTGCATTTTTACTGTGACGTTGTGCGTAGAAATATTAGTGCATTCTTACCCACTAGCCCTACTTGGTCTTGAAACACACATAAAAAATGATAAATGTTTCCCAACTCAGAGCTTTGTGTCATGCCATGCCTGATGCTACCAAACTAACATAATAAAACATGAGGGCTGATAGAAGTCAAGATTGCCTGCATAATACCCTTATTTTCCAGCCAACTTCAATTATGGGTAGCCACTATACCAACTAGAAAGGAGAAAGCACTAGAACATTGACTGGAAACAAGACCTACATAGAAACTGTTCAAAGCCCCGGAGGCCATTGATATTTTGGTGAGAATAGATTCTGAGAGTTATTTTCAGCTTATTTCTGGATAAAAAAAAGTAGTAAAGCAAAAATAATGACAGGTACATCTACGGAGACGCTCTTCTTAGGTCATATTGGATTTTGTTGACAACCAAATAAGTCTTTGTTCATGTCACACATGGCAACACATCAACCAAGTCTTTGAACACTAAAAGCCATCTGTCTCTTGGCCTGAAAACGGGGAGCCTGCTGTAACAGCTTGCTGCTTTCTTGACTAAAATCTGAGGCCACTGTGCTTCCAAGTTGCCGTGGAATAATTTTTTGAAAAAAGAAATATTATAATTTTTTTGATGTAATGTATATAGAATAAAAAGATCCGGAAAAACGTAACCATCCATGATATAATTTCCAACCAAGTTGGAGGGCCATCACCAAGCTCATCGACACACCTTTTTTCCTCCTTTGGACCCAATAATCTCTGAGGAAAAAGTTCTGAGACTTATAAAGTTTACACTTTAACTCAGGTACAATAATCCATATGCAAGAAAAGATTAGAGTAGAACAGTAGCTTTATTTCGGAATGCATTACAACCTTGTCAAATCCTCTGTCTAAGCAGGAAAGGATAATCAGATGCTGTGGGCCAAATGCAGATTGATGAAGAGACAAATGAAGTGAACGAAATACTACTAGCTTTTTTATTCTCCTTTTTTGTTTGGGTGGGCACTAGAAAATTTTGGCAACATTTGGCCTTCACGTCAGCTGAGGACCCAAAGACAAGCTAATGGTTAATCAGATTGCAAGATATACTATTACATAAAAGATATCATGGACCACCTTGTACAGATACATCACTTTGATGACCAAAAAAAACACCAATAACTGGTCCGAAAAATCATTGAATATCTAACACATGCAATCTTCCAGAATTTGATCCTCAAGTGGTAAGTCCTATACTGTTAACACAAATGTTCCACGTAGCCACTCACACAGTGACAGTGCTCAGAAACCTTGATCTGAGGCTCAGACTTAGATGCTTACTAAGACCAAGATATTTTAGATGCCAGTAGTGTATACAACTAACGTATATAGAGCAGGGTGTAGCTTTTGGAAGTAGCAAAAGATATGCTTGTATCTCTAAAGAAGTCCAATACTGAATACTCTACTACTCTTGCTAAGCTCCTACGTATTGGTTCTCTATCTAAAGAAATACCCAAGTCTCAAAACAAAAACCAAACTCCTCTTTCATCAAAAAATTGAGTACCATCTCATGATTTCAAGTGTCTCAGCTAAAAATTGTAACAGCATAAATTACACAGGTGGATTGCTGCCATCTAATGTCAATAGCACCTTGTATAAATCTGGACGTCGATCGCGAAACACTCCCCAACTATATCTCTTGTATTTGATTTGATCCAGATCAAATTTCGCCACAAGAACAGCTTCCTCTTTGTCATCAGCATTTGCAACAATTTCTCCAGTTGGTCCTGATCAGAACATCAATGCTCAAACTCCTACTCACACAGATGATAATATGAAGAAACTTTTTAAAGGCCAGCAATATTCTAGTTATACTGGCACATAACATACCCGCTATAAAGGAATTGCCATAGAATATGATTTCACTTTTGCCATGTTCTGTCTGAATTATCTCTTTTCCGATGCGGTTCGAAGCTATTAAAGGCACCTGAATGTTACCACATATGTCAGCAAGGCCTCAATTTAGACAAATTAAAACATTTGTGTACTCAAAGGTATTAAAATTCTACAGTGAGGGACAAAAGTATATTCCAGCATATATCAAATGAGGCACAAAATGATCAGGAATGCAAGATTAAAAACTTAGTTCTATGCAACCTCCTAAACTAACAAATCTTACATTCCTGAAGTTCAAAAGCATCAGCTTTTTGTTCATGAACCAACACCTGAAATAGCCAATAGTCCAACCATCATGTATTGCTTTGATTTATGGAAAGGGTCCTTATCATTCAGTGGCTGTCTTATCACAAATTTCAGTGACCAGTGATGAATCAGTTATGCTAGATGCTCACTTCAATGTTGTAACTGGAATAAAAGGTAGAGAAACTCTTCGATTGACACTTGGATGAATACTCTGATGGCCCCTCGAGAAATGACAATTGTAAACAAAAGGTGACATTCTTGAACTGGTAGGAAGGGACAAGGTTCTCAAAGAGAAGCCTGAAAATATATTTCCTGGAAAGTAATATGCAGAGCTAGGGGCAAAATTTTTTACATGGCCCCCTGAATCAGCTTATACTCTTAAAACTTTCAAGTTAAACAGAAGGGGCCAAAAGATAGAAATCTTATTGCATGACAAAGTTTCTTCAGCTTTAGATGGACAAGAGTCAAATTATCCATGTGAACTTTTAGCAAAGCATTTAGCTCTTGGAAAGAAGAGACAACCATCTTTCCTTGGAAAACAGAAACTCTAAAACTGTTTGGAAAACTACGACAAAACATTCCTAGAAAAGGAATATGAAACAGAAGGAGATCTGTGTTATTGAGTGCCATGGGCTTCAAGCAACAAGAAAAATTTCAACCAGGATTGTTGCATTAGAAGATGGCAAGCTCAAAATATGGAAACTCTTGACACACAGAGTGGTGCTTGCAAGAAACCCTAAAGGATTTGCTGCTTAGCTAATGTGCATGTAGGAGACAGGAGTTTCCGTTTATGAATGGAGCCCATGAGAGATAAATTTAGAGCTTCTCAAGGCAAGGAGGGAACAGGACAACCTGGAATTAGCATTTCAATACTTCAGTTTTAAAGATAAACAGGTATCTAGTAACTCTGATAAACTTTTGGATACAAAATTCTCCTGTATAGTGTTAAGGTAGTGGAAGTGCTTTGGTGCCTTAGCCATAGACTCAGACTCAATTCTGAAGACAAGCATTTGAAATCATGTCCCACCTATATGTAATCTACCAGGCAACAGCAGACCAAATGCCATGACACTTCTTTTCATTGTACAAAAATGGGGGCAAATTTAAAAGAAGACAATTTTGGTTAATTGTGTATTGTATGGTCAAATGAAGTCCAAGATACTTAAGAGTTCTACCAAGAGGAAGTAAATGGTGGTTTGTTATGCGTTATACAGTGCATGCATATAGGTCCGACTCCTTCAAGACAAAATAACCAGAACCACTAACTTATGAACACAAGAAACATCTGCAACAATTACTGTGGAAGTCCCCACTAAAATTTTAATCCAACATATAAACGTGTGGATCAACCAGACAAAGTCCAAGGTTAAAAACATCCTTCAGGATATGCAACTCACCAGATTGGCCCCAGCATGCCCTTGCATCACTCTCTTCCAGTGATCTCGAGAATCAAGGCCTTCATCTTGAGGTTCAGAACCAATAGCAGTAGGGTACAACAATATTTCTGCACCTAGAAGAACCATAGCTCGTGCAGCCTCAGGAAACCATTGATCCCAGCAAATTGCTGTCAAGCACGAGCAGTAGAAAACTTAGATTTCCTATTTCCTTCTGGAAGCTGATTGAATCATTTGTTTAAGCCTTCAATTCTTTCTACTGCTACCAGTAATTTTGAGCTTTGGAAGACACAGCTTCTATATCATTTGTTATGCATTTTGACCATGAGTGGAAACATCAATCTGGAACCTATGGGCACACCTCATTCAAAATGATTGCAGGATGATATGAAAATCAAGGAAAAAGGAAGACTTACCAACTCCAATTTTTGCAAATTTAGTTTGGAAGACCTGGTCATTGTCACCATCATCAAAACATTAAGGTTATTAAAAAGAAATCACGATTGGTGTTGACAGAAGCAGTATATGCTCAGACGTAATCTAGCTAAATCACCTTAAAACCAGTGTCTCCTGGATTAAAGTAAAACTTTTCTTGGTACCCTGGAGAGGAAACATCACATATCAGACTTAATTTCTTATCAGATATAAACAAAATGAAAACATCACATATCAGATTTAAATCAACTATCACACTCGCACACCTGGACCGTCAGGGATGTGGGATTTTCTATAAAGCCCAAGATCTGTTCCGTCAGCATCAATTACAGCTACTGAATTGTAATGGGCATTGTTTGCCTCCTCAAAGAAACTAACTGGTATCACTACTCCCAGTTCTTTGGCGAGCTTCTGCATTCTGAGAAGCACACCATGCATAAAATATTGCTCAAGGAATGTCAATGAATGTGAAGCAAATAAATCATTTCTATTAAAACAAGCTGCTCCATCAGCCACACGAGTACAAAGAGGAAAAAATGAAGAAAAGAAGATTTTTCACCTTAGAATTGTTGGATGTCCCTTATAAGGCTTTGCTCGCTGAAAGAAATCCCCCCTTTGAGCTTGACAAAAGTAGTAACCCTCAAATAATTCCTGGAAATCCAAAAGGAAAATAAAACACAAGTAGCATCCACGACAAAAGATATACTATGACTACATCATCCAACTCTGTTAGGAAATGTAACTGGTTGTACCAGGTTTTTGCCATTGCACACGTCATTTTTTGCCACAAGTGTCACAAACATGAAAAAAAAATGAAATGGCGGAAGAATTTCAAGATTGATTATGACTAGGAGGACTTCTGTTTGGAGCTGTATATTCCATGTATGGGGAGGACTAACCTGTATGAGAATGATATTAGCACCCTTCTGATAAGCTGCTCTAACCAATCTGCAAATAGGAACAAGTCAGAGATAAAAATCAATAGTTGATAAAGGTTTAATTTTCTTGTTCTCAAGGTTATTATCTCAGCAACAGTGTTCTTACATATGATGAAGTTAAATTCTTAGTAAGCCCAATTTTGTTTTAGCAACATGGTTTTCAATAAAACAGTTGGTATGAAAAACACAAGCAGGCAATGTTCAACAGTCATGTTGTTTTCGTCTCTTGGGTGATTAGCTCCAGATTATTAATACAAAACCACAAAAATACAACCAAAGACGTTTTTCTACCATTATTCTAATATTTTTTTTCCAGAAACGGTAGATAATTGCATTGATATGTAGTAAGCTATACAATTGTCGAGCAAAGGCCCAAATTGACTGTACAAGTGCATCTTGGCACTAATAGTGGAACCACTCTTCATCAAAAGAAATGCTTAATGCATGCATACTGACTAAATCAACCCTTTCCTCCGTTAGATTAGTGGACAAAATGAATGAGCATTCCGTAAACATTGAGCACAGATTTCTAATATCCTCGAAGTGAGAGTGCATTGCCATGTCTTTGGATTTACTGGTTTGAATCATTTTCAGTAGCTGCTTCTGTTTAATCTTGACCTCAATTTTCTAATAAGGAACAGCTATTTCACTTATTATAACAGAAGAATATCTCAGTCTGCCAATCGAGAACTGCCCAAGAGGATCCTTTTACTCACACGTGCCATGTAATTATTTTGCCTAAATAGACAAACCTGCTTCATAATGCCCTGACCATACACAGGACCCAGTGTAAACCAAGTGTACATTTCACACAACCTTACAGTCATGCAGCCAAAGAATCCCCATGCTTTGAAATTTAAACCTCCCACGTTAAGGTTTTCTATCCTTTTCTATGTTTCTAGCTGCAAATGAGCCACAGAAATTCATTCCTCTGAAGATTATGCCACGTTTTACTTCTTCCAAATTTTGATGGGGGTGACCCAAGGTAAAGAAGATGGCTAAGCTTCAATTATTGGCATTTACATCCACCAGATTCAATCTTAGAACCTCAAGTTTCACAGCTACTCCTTGACTATCAGCTAGTGCTAGAATTCAGCTACATCTAATCCAGTGCTTGGAAGTTCCAAACAAACAATAAAGCTCCAATCTTTTAGCTTAAAGGGATCTGACAAACACATTACTGGAAGAAAATTCAGCAAGGATATCGAAAAATGAATGGCAACAAGATCAGATTTTTCAAATTCGCCAATCAAACTCAACGAAACCTCAATTACCCTTTTACTTAAAAACCTCAATCATTTGCACTAAGCCACCAAAACCCTTTTCACATCTTTATTTATGTCAAGAAACTCCTTGATCCCGATCCAAATTATCATCAACGGGTAAAAATTTCTTATGGGTTCATGCTGAAAGTTGCTGCAAGATGAAAAAAAAAAGTGGGGACCTTTCAGCAGTGGCAACGTTGGTGGAGACGTCATCAGTGCAGGAGAACTGGAGAGCTGAGACGGTCACCACCCTTTTCCCATCCTCCATCGGTACTACTTTGCAAAATCTCTTACTTGCGCAGTTCAGCTCTTTTCTGAGGACTGAGGAGTCGTTTAATAAACGACAGGAGTGAATTGAGTTAACGCACGGGAGTTGGGACTGGGAAAGCTTAGACCGGCACAAACTACAAAAGGGCGGTGGGCTGTGGGGGTTTTGTTACGATCAAACGACTAAGTGCGTTTGATTTTATTTTATTTTTTTTATTGGATGGATGATTTTTGGGAAAAGTTTTGTGGTAGAATAGAGCAAACGGAAAAAAAAAATAGTCACTAAACTATAATACCAGTTTTCTTATTGGGATAATATTAGAAACCTTCTCTCACGTTTCTCTTAATATCATCTAGTATCCTTAAAATTTTAAAAATATCACTTATTTCTCCTATTTTTGTTATTTGTGTAACAAAAATTTTAAAAATTCTAAACTGCCCTTCTACTTGCTAAATAAAAATACTTTTCAATCACTTTGTTTACTTTAAGAAAACTATCATCTAAAAAAAATATCTAATAGTACTACCCTATCATACTGTTATAGTCCATAAAAATATATATTCAAAAAATAAAAAGGCATTTGTAAAGAAATACATTTGACTAATTTAACTATATATGTTCAAAACCGATTATTTATGAATTTAATATTTTTTTCAACTTCTTCTCAATTCTTGCCCAAATATTTAAATTATACCGATCATTATAAAAATCATTCCAAAATAAGCAACTAAATCATACCATACTCTATCATAATAATAAAAAGTAAAAGATATATAAAATTCAATTTATTATAATTTACAAATAAAAAATTGTATAATCCTCCAAAAATAAGTAAGAGAGAATGTTGGAGAAAAGGGAAAGAGAAGAAAGTGACTTTTATTTTAAAAACTTTTTTAGGTCCATTTATTTGATATGTGAATTATGTATCAAGTGAAAGTTAATATAGTTTTTTTACAATTAGTAGGGGAGATAAGTGATACTTTAAAACTTTAGGGGTACCAAGTGATATTAGAAGAAACCTCAAGGGAGGTTTCTGATATTATCCCTTTCTTATTTCGGTTCTTAAACTTTTTGTTCTGTCAAAATTTTTACTCAATTGATGAAAAAAAATATAATTTTTAGTCACTCAACTTATGTACAATTTTGATCATTCAATTAATAAAACATACACTTTTTACTCCAAAAATGTAAGCTTCAGTTAGTTGAATTATCATTTTGGTAAAATAAAACGGTTCACTGACCAAAAACAAAGAATTATGAATCTTGTAGTGATTATTTATTCCTGTCAGTCAACTAAATCATGTATGCAGGTTGATACACAACCATTTCTTTAAAAAAAAAAAAAAAAAAAAAAAAAGGGATATATTAAGTTGGTTGTTGAAATTCACTGCTTCCCTTGCAGCAAGAACTTTTCTGCCAATTCTGCACTTTCTTAGATAAGCCAGAAATAAATTGACCCTCGTAACTGCGGATGCCAATGACTTGTTTAATTGCTGATACAGAAGCATCATTTCTGCATTATACTCTAACAATCCTCTTTTCTGCATTTTGATTTTTTGAACGTGCAGTGGACACATCAATATATTAATATCAGACCCATCTCATATTTAATTTTCATCTCATCAAAGTCTGTAAATTACACGATTGAAGATTGCAATGACAAATTCTTACCAGGGAGAAAAAAAAAAATTAGCGTGAGTGTACAAAATTAGGCATTAAAGAGCATCATTTCAGATTTATTTTCCTGGTCAATTACATCAAGAAAAACAGGGTCAACACTCACGTGACTGTCCACGTGAGCTTTAAACCTATGGTCCCACCACAGAACCTTAGCATCTCCTTCTATATCCACAGCTGCATTCAGCACCATCTCCCGGCGCGCCACGTCAGCCAAGAACTCCTTTGCATGATGAGCCAGCTCCAGCCCGCTGAGCCGCGCCGGAAGGTGGAGGAACTGGCAGGATCTCGGCGGCTGGGAACCCGCTTCCACCACCGCTGACCCCAGGAGGCAGCCGGCGTAGTAGATGGACATGTTCGCGGAGGAGTATCGGACGGTCGCGACGTTTGGGTTGCTGACGTGGACCGTCAGGATCATCTCTGCGTCCAAAACAGGGAAGTTGAGCTTTAAGGAAGTTAGGTTGATTGAGATTAGGTGGAAAGTGGGGTCACGCGGCTTTGAGGAGAGTATTGCCGACGCGGCTGCGGCGGTTGCTGCGCCTACTAAAGCGGAGGTCCAGCTCCATTTGGCCTTTTTGCCCATGGGTTCTTGAGAAGGATACGGAAGAGATGAGAGGTTCACGGCGATTTGTCCACGCAGAAGGAGATGATGAACGAGGAGGCCGACTATTGGGGGACTTTTTGTCATTGGAGTTGGACCTTCCTGACGATATTGCCCTTGATTAAGTTGCTTTGTTGGCTTTGGCCTCCAGGGCAGTGATGAAGGGTAGCTTAGAAATTTTATATGCTTGGAAAAAGTTCTAACATTTGGTGTCCAAGCGGTGCGCCAAATCGTTCAAACATCCATCATATTTCGCGTTCTTTTGTTTTTTACTTTTAGAATAGTAAAATCAAATCGGTTAATTTTGATTCCAATATAAGTTTTTGAATACTTTTTATCCAAAATTTATCACGTGATTGACACATAATCATTCTATTAGGGACAAAAAGATTAGATCCTATTTAAAAATAATAATAAATGACTTGATTTATATTCATTTTTGTTCTTAAAAAAATAATATCTGACTCAACTATACTCATTTAGGATTTGGTTTAATTTGTATTCATTTTTGCCACTAAAAAAATTGAGATCTAACTATTTTGTATATAAAAAATAATTGCATGTAGGTCATATGATGATTTCAAACTAAAAAATAGTCGGAAACTAAGGTTGAGATCAAATTTTGCTAATTAACTTGAATTTGTAAGCGGCGTAAAATGAATATTTTAAAAGTAAATGAAGAGAAAATTCATTTGACATACGTACGGAACGTTTTAAATGATTTTCCTGAAGGGTTAATCATAAAAATTCCCCCCAAGGTACGTTCAGAATTTGCAATATTTACCTCCTAAATTGTTTTTCCTCACCCAATCCCATAAGAGACAAAACTACTCCTAAAATATAGATTTCGAATGTGTTCCTAGATTTGGCGTATGTATACAATGTATGTATTGTGGATCAGATTAAGTCCATTTGTATTGAAGATTATTTGAAAAAATCATGTAGATTAATCGTGTATTACTTTTTATAATGTAATATATATGAAATAAAAAATAATTGAATAAATAAAATAGTGATTAAAAAATGTGTTTCAAGAACATATTCTAAGTTACAAGGACAGAACTTGGTTTTACATGTGTTTTCTTTTTCGTTTTTAACAACATTTTCCCTTTCAATTATTTTGAGAATATTTTCAAAATTTTCAAGGATACATTGAGATTTATAATTGCCACCAAGAGACAATAGCCATTTCGGTATCTCCTAGGAATAAACTGCACGAGATGGGATGATAATACTATACCTTAAATTTGAGCAAACTTATCCAAATAAATTCAGGTAGTGGAGCTATTTCAATATATTGGCATGTGATGATAGCAATGCAACCTCAACATCACACAAGTTTATTGTCAAAATAACTCTCCTTTCAAAACATATACCCAAAGTAACCTAATTATAAAATTTATTACTTTTATGATCCTTTTTTTTAGCCACATAAGCTCTATATGTGCCAAGATGAAGATAGATGCGTACTCCATTTCTCTTTTTCATCTAATATTTTCCCTATTTTTCTCTCTGAACCTTTATGCATTTTTTCCTTCCATTATCTAAAAAATGATTTCTCACACCTTTTGTTTGATAAAATGTCTATGAAGAAAACTACATAACAATATATATTCATATCTAGGATGCCTTTTGCTTTTTATACTTGTTGATTACTTATATAATAATATGGTAGTTTTCAATTTGTTATTGAAAACTTGAAAATTTTAGCTTGATTACTTTTTGCAAAAATTCTTTTCAAGGAGTAGGAAGGATAACATAAACAAATATGATTGCCTTGAAGTTTTTCTAACTTTTCCTCGTTATTGCTTAATTTTCATTGCAATTTTTGTATTTTTTAAATTTTATTTTTTGAAAAAAATATATGCAATAGGTTTGATACATTTAAAAAAAATGTAGAGACCAATAATAGTAAGGTCAATAATAATCGAATTTATTTTAAATAAATATAAGAAAATTATCGAAGTCATGCAATCTTTTTGCACCTCTATAATAACAAAAATTTAAATTTTTAGTTCATGTTGAAAACTATAGACTAGATTAAATCTTTCCTTTCTTATTATCCTATATGGCAATCAGGATAACTAGATGGTAACAATAACACCATTATGAAAATAAAATTTGAAAGTGTCATCGAGTCATTATACTTCACACTTCATGCAATTGTACTCGCAAGTGTCATCTATGAACTTTTGTTGAATTTTGAAGGTTGTCATACAGCTGGAAATGCTTATTGTTGTTCCCTCATTCAATATCGCCTCTACAATTTCCACAACACAGGGAAGCCAGACCCTTCAATGGATTCCAATCTAGTGAGCAATCCGAGAAAAAGGTGTCCTAAAATATCTGGATTCGATCAAACTGTTAAACTCGACCAAAACCCTCCTAGTGCTAATACCTGTTGATGATCCTCACTATAAAGTAAAAACAAATAGCCTTGCATGGAGGGGTTCTTCAAATTGATCAAGAGCCGGCATTGGATCTAATGACAAAGGACACTGTGACTGCTACATAGCCCACTGCCCATGGTTAGGGACTTCTCTAGTAGATTTGGCCAAGCGATAGTTAAAATGGGTGCTGTCGATGTCCCAACTGGAAACCAAGGAGAGATTAGAACATCATGCCGGGCTGTGAACAAAAAATCCAAGAAGTTTTGATCTTAATTCAAGATAGAGCTTCAATTGGGATTTGTTTTTTCAAAAGAATACCTTGTGAAGTATTAATTGTTTGAGTAACGTGGAAATTAATTCATATATTAAGATAAGATTTGTGTCCCTCAAACTCATTTATGAAGTCAATTTTACATTTTTCTCACTTGCATGAAAATATCAACATATAGATTTATGAAAGGGAAAGCCATATGTGCATCCAAGTGTTTTAACATTTTTTTATGGAACTAAACTATTCTTACCTAAGTCATAGGGAGATTAGCCAAATAGTCATTAGGTTTTTGGTTCGATTCTTAAGCCATCTCCTTGCTCCTTTCCCTATTGTAAGAGTTGGAGTCCCCCATTAAATACCCAAAAAAAGAAAACCTTTCATTTAGCAGTTGATTCCACATCCTGTTAAGTGGTCCTATTCTTGTCAAACTTCAAAATATTTATGGGCTAAATGTGTTTTCTTGCTATTTTGGGACTGCTTTGATGCCCCCCAAATTTTTTTCCAACGAAGGAATACTTTGTAGGTTACAACTAGAGTTTTCAAAGAATTATTAGTCATAAACCCAGATTGCACATTTTTAAAACAATGTGTGTGAATTGATTGGATAAACGATTGGTTGAAGATCAATTCCTGCCCCTAATACAAACATGAGAGTTTTTTATAGTTTTTTTTTTGAGAGAGAGAATTATATACCATCATGCATGACATAACAATAACACAGTACTCTTTGAAATGAAAAAAAAAAAAAAGCCAAAAGGGAAAGGGGTAGGTTTTAAAATAATTATTTGCTATGAGGGCAGGTATTTGTTAATTGTTAGGAAAGAGTCTGCCACCTTGATTATGCAATTCATCAAAGACTTTTCACAGCTAAAGGAAAGGGGAAAGGAACTTCTGCTGATTCCCTCTACCTTCTTAATTAGGCAGGTCAATCCTTACTAATTTTCAATTTTAGTTGTTAGTTTAATAACTCAAGAATATGCAGTTTAATTAGCTAGCTTCTTATTCTCCTTCCATAATTAGTTACCAGAAATGGTAAGCAAATCCAACAAGATTTGCAATCTAAACACGAATAACTTTCAAATAAACACTTAAGCCGATGCATAATAGTCCAGCTCTAAGTCAGCTAAACATGTTTAAAAAATAAATCCTTGCTCCCCAGTGGTACATTCTTTAGTGCAAATACATTATATCATGATTGCACGTTCAATCAATCACAATGAGAGGGAAAAGTTGTGCCAAATGGTTGTTAGAACCAAGCAATATTCCAAACTACGTGCTCATGTTTAAAGTTCTTGCAGTCACATATAAATAGATAGCAGAAATGTGCCATCTACATTGCAAAAAGTAACCAACGTTTCCAGATCAATTATACAAAAAATGTCGAAAGGTGCTGCAGTAACACTAGCCATGGGATTGGTTTTTGTGGGCTTGTTGGGGCAGTGCTATGGTGCTTCATCACCATTGCAGGTAGGGTTTTATAAGGGGAAATGCAAAGGGGTCGATGTTGAGGCGATTGTTGGCAGTGTGGTGAGAACGTGGTTCTTTAAGGATCCTACAATTACTGCTGCTCTCCTCCGCATGCAATTTCATGATTGCTTTGTTAAGGTAAGAGAATTTTTGCTTTTCTCCCTTTGCCGTCCTTTTTCATCAACTCTACTGGAAAATGCAAGTATACAAGTCAAATTCCACTTTTGCAGTGCCTTTGAAAGTGTTGTCAATTTCCATCTTGCATCTTGAATATTTATTTCTAGGACATTGTTCTTTCTTCTTCGTCTTCTTTTTTTTTTCTTAATAAATTTTACGTGTGTCCTGATAAAATCAAACAAGGGTCTCATATTCACTTAAATAATGTTCTTACCGGCTAAGTTGAATCTATGAGAATTCAAATAAATAGAATGATTTTCATAACATTTGATCTTTATTACTCTTATCATAGTGCATGTGCTTGTAGAAAAATGCTCCATATCTTAAGGTCTTGACTTCGCCATTGCATATAATCTTATGTCGTTGTTACGTGCATGCATTGCTCTCGAGTTCGCCAGCGTCATTAATATCAATTGGGACTAATTGACATGCATACAGAACTTTAAGGGGTAAAATTTCCAACATATCGTAAAAACTCATCGTGCACAGTTAGAATGATTAAAATAAATTGATTGAGAAAAAAATATATTGAATAAATTTTATATACATTGACAGTGTATACATTATCACCATTACATTCACGACACATGTACAAAAGTTGGATTTCAAATTCAAATTTTGCATAGTTACCATTCATCCAATGCTAACGATGTATACACTATTATTAGTGTAGGAAAGATTAATCCAAATATATTAGGTTGGTTGTTGACTTTCTGCCTATGATTTAAAAGGGTTGTGATGCATCTCTTCTTCTGGATGGAAGCAACAGTGAGAAAACTGCAATACCAAATTTAAGTGTTAGGGGGTATGATCTTATTGATGCGGCAAAGGCAGCTGTTGAGGCCATTTGCCCTGGTGTGGTCTCCTGTGCTGATATCATTTCAATGGCTGCTAGGGATGCGGTTTCCATGGTAAGATAATTCTTTAAGAGTTGTTTTCATTTTTCTAAATTAGTCAATTCCGGCTATATGCCTTTATTATCAAAAAAAGTCATTTAGAGGTGCTGACATTTGAGTTTGACTCGTACATTTAGCTGCAAAGAAGTTGACTAGCTATGCAAAAAAACAACCTTTATAAGTCTGTGGTGGTAGTTAAAAATTAAAATAAGCGTTGAGTTTTAAGAGCCTTAGAAAAATAATTACTAATTTCATTTCTTGGACCAACATTTCTTATTATTGTTCTTCTATTGGACAATATCTTTATAGAATTACTCTTGATTTGGTAAATGCAGAGTGGTGGAGGACGGTACCCTGTAGAAACCGGGAGGAAAGACGGCACCTTGTCGCTTGCCACGCTTGTGAACCTGCCGCCACCCTTTATATCGGTCTCGGATTCTATCAAAGCATTTCAGCAGAAAGGGCTTAATGTGGTGGACATGGTTTATCTTCTTGGTATATACTTCATTTTGCAAATCTAATCAACTTTTCATTTTTTTTTAACTCTCCCATCTCTCGCCACATCTTTTCCACCCTCAACTGCCTTGCACAGGATCTGAATCCTAAATTTGACAACCGGAAAAACTCTAAAAATCCTTCCCTAATCATTAGGCCAATCCTAGTGAATAATCAAGTTTTCATTGCTTTTTTTTTTTTTTTAAAAAATAAAAGGCATAATTTCATTGCCACTAATGGTAGAAAATACATTACTATGCCACAGAAACTGAAAATCATAAAATACAATAGATCTGAAAAAAAAAAATAAAATTCTAAATACATTCTGAATTTGCTGTTCTTGGCAATCAGATTGCGAGTAACTGAACTTAATGTGTCTTTTGAATTTAGACCCTAGATAATGCCTTCCCTTCATTTGTTTGTATACATCTCATTAAACTTGAGAAGAATTATTAACATGCCATTAGCTTTATTAGAAGAAATTGTCATTTTACTATAAAATCAATTCATTTGAGAAAGTTTCATCATCTAATCTCTTTGCAAAATACTGGGATGGTACACGAATTGAGAAAGTTGTGATAAAATCTATACCCGCACAATTAATGGTGAACCGGCTTCCTTTCATTTCAATTTTTCACATGTCACTAACATCAACCACGAAATTGATTGTGAATGGTTTGATTAAACTTAAAAACATTTTTGAAATCTTATATTTCATAAAGAAACTAAAAACAGTCTTATAATCTTATATTTCATGATAAGTACTCACGCCTTATTATTCTAATGGCAAAATCCTTTTTTTTTTTTAATTTAATGCAAATAGATTTAGTTATTCATTATTGGGGAAAAAAATCTTATTCGAAATATTTCCAAGGTGACTATAACTAATCTCAATTCTTGATTGAACCAAGGTGGGCACACCGTGGGAGTTGCTCATTGTTCCCTCTTCCAAGATCGTCTCTACAACTTCCAAAACAGTGGCCAACCAGACAATACCATGAGCCCTTTGCTGCGATTTTTCCTGAGAATCAGGTGTCCTCAAAATGCTACAGTTGATAACACAGTCAATCTGGATCAGAACCCTTTGAGCTCTTTAATTGTTGACAACTCCTATTACAAGCAAACAAAATTGAACAGAGGAATTCTGCAAATTGATCAACAACTGGCCCTGGACCCATTGACCAAGGACATTGTAACTGCAATAGCAACCAGGTTCGATTTCTCCACAAAGTTTGGTCAAGCCATGGTTAAAATGGGTGCTGTTGAAGTCCTAACAGGAAGCCAGGGGGAGATTAGGAGTTCTTGCAGGGCAGTTAACAAAAAGGGCAAGGGACAATGACACCAATGGTAACCAAGAAAAATGAATTAATAATGACGAAAATGGTAACACAGGAGGAAAATGGAACAATAAAGAGAATACAAAGCACTAGACAATATGTTCTACTGTGCTCAGATATTTATTTTCCCTTTTTTTTTTTTTCCAATTCTCATTGTTGTTGATATGTTTCTTTGAATTTTTTATGGTTAATTTTGTTTTCCCTTCATTCCAAAATTTCTGTTCATCAAGGTTTCTGAATTTTAGAATTTCTCTTGATTAGTGATGCATTAGACATTCTCTTTTTTTTTTTTTTTGGGGAACTGTAATGAGGACACAGTCCAATATAAATAACCTTTAATTATATAATTTTCTTAATTTATATCTGATTAATGATGCCATCAGTATTTTGTGGACGTGTAACACTGCCACAACCAAATGTAAAAAACAATAACGTCTTGACCCTTTTTTTTCTAAAGAAGATCAATCAATAGTGGTTCCTTGCATATTCTCATGATGATTTAAACTCGCGATCTATCAGTTATATATGCGTGAAGCATCTCACCAATTAGACCATACTTTGTTGTCTAATATCTCCACCTTTAATAAGAAATATTTCCTACTATCATTGAAATTTTGATATATACGATTACGGTTCCAAAAAATGTCATAGCACGTTCAACCAAATTCAAAAATCAGCACTTGCTATAAAACAATGGTATAAAACTTCAAAAAAAAAAAAATAGAGAAAGTGGCCAATACACACGTCTTAACGGAATTTCATGTCATTTAGCAACTATGCTTCTTAATTTTGAGATAAGATTGTTCCCCGATCACTTCATTGGTTTCCTGTAGTGTTATAATAAATCCGTAATGAATACTCCGATCCTATGGGGGAAAAAAATAAAACAATAAAAACATTGGCTTGTAATTATTGTCATTAATTGCCTTTGCAAAAATCACAAGGACAAAGTTGACAAAAGATGCTTCTGGGAGAAGAATAGAAACTATTGGTCAAGAACTGATTATCATTAAATGTGAATTTACTTGAACTACATATTAATCTTCATCTCACTATTTGTATGTTGTTAATCATTTGCAGTCCGTAGGGAGTTACAGTTCTTAGGTATCCATCCCACGACCAATGTGAGTTACTTGTGTAATCCTAAAATGGAAAAAGAAACAAAGTACTTTTGTCACTATGCTATTCTTTGTTGCCAATTCATCATCCTTCTCATCTAGAAGGTTAAAAAGAAAGAAAAATGGCATCCTCGTTATTCTAGAAACAGAATAAAAAATTGAAAAATGATACTTAACTTTTCGCTAATTAGACCACTTCATTCTAATATTTTTACAATATACACAAAGGAGATAGATAGAGCGCGATTAACAACAAGCAAAATTCTATACTAAGCGATATAAGCGAAACAAACAAACTAATGGATAACCCACCTCTTTAATTTTATGAATTTTTATATTTGTGTCTATTATTTGATAATGTCGCACTTTTTATAATTAAGTGAATTCAACAACAATACAAGATTAAAAATGTTGTTGTTACGCACTTTATTATGGCACATTACATGTCAATAATAGGTCCACACAATATGTACAAAGGGAAAAATTTCCAAATTTGACAACCAAATTTGAAAAAACTCAAATCTAATAAAAAAAATTAAAAAGATTACATAAAACTCCCACTAGTGAGTGAGTTTTCTTTCCAGATTACCTGATGTAAACTACTTGAATAATAGGTCCACAGATTCCGCAATACCATATCAACGTTTAAGATTGCCTTGGTGCTTATTTTTGCAAGCCTTGCTACATCATCTCCATATGCCAGCCATCCCTTGTCCATTTTTTTTTAATAAGGAGCCCTCTCGTCCAGTACTTTGTTGCATGCCAACACTTAGGTTGAGATTTTTTTTAATGTAAATAGAAGGAATCGAATTCGAAACTTTTCATTCACACACTCTCTCTCAAACCACCTAATCTAATCCTCCCCATAGGTCGAGTTTTATAACAAAGAGAAAACGGTAAAGGCAAATCTTTGTTAAATGTTCGGTTTAATGATTTATTACACATAACCTTCTTTAGCTGGCGTAATTCCTACAGTCCTTCCAACTTCAAGGGTACGGGATCCATGCATAGAGAACCATGAATCTCCACGATCATCATTCTTCAGCAAAGATAATTAAGTCCCAATAAATCATTAAACAAAACCAATTTCTCCAGATTGATGACTTCCGGGAAAACCTGTCCCTGCAGAAATAAATAATTCCTCAATTTTGTTGACTAGAATTACTTATAACATATTAAAAAGGGTTAATGCTCTAAATCATTAAACAAAACTAATTTCTCCAGATTGATGACTTCCGGGAAAACCTGTCCCAGAAACAAATGATTCCTCAACTTCGTCGACTAGAATTACTTAATTATAACATATTAGCATGGGTTAATGCTCCCTAATCCCGTGTACTTTCGTGCAACTAACCATCTGGTTGTCTGTTTACATGAATGCACGTTCTATATATTATACTAATTAATCAATTGATTCCTTCTTGACTTCATAGAAATGGTTGTGCCAGGCATGCATTCCAACCTACCTACATTTCCTTCACTCACTCTTTAAATAGATGGCATATATCTGCATCTAAATTCGCAAAGGGAAAAAAAAAAACAGGAATTACCAAAAAAGAAAAACTAAGAGCTGAAAAAAATGTCGAAAGTTGCCTCTGTAGCACTGGTCCTAGGGTTCATTTTTGTGGCATTCTCCGGCCAATGCTACGGGGCTTCACCACCACTTAAGGTTGGTTTCTACCAAGGAAAATGCAATGGTACGGTTGATGTTGAGGTGGTTGTTGGTGGAGTTGTCAAAACATGGTTCTCTAGCGATTCTACAATTACTCCTGCTCTACTAAGGATGCAATTCCATGATTGTTTCGTAACTGTACGAAGTTTCTTCTTCTTTATTTACATTTTTGATCTTTTGGTAAATTTCTCATTAATTATGCTGGCAATTTGGAAAACATTGTGTTGATTGTTGACGTTCTGACATTGTTTACAAGGGTTGTGATGCATCTCTTCTTCTGGATGGAAGCAACAGCGAGAAAACTGCAATACCAAATTTAAGTGTTAGGGGATATGGTCTTATTGATGCGGCAAAGGCAGCTGTTGAGGCAATCTGCCCGGGTGTGGTCTCCTGTGCTGATATCATTTCAATGGCTACCAGAGATGCTGTATCCCTGGTAAATAGATATACGTACCCTCTCTCTTTAATTTTTCTATTTCTGAAAAGTTACATACCATGCATAATTCTCAATTAGACAAAACTAGAAAAGATTAACTAGAACCATTAGACTCCTAGCGAAGCTCAAATTAATGTAGCATAACTACGATATCACGTACAACTACGTGCCATGAATACGTTAAACTCTTACTTTTAATTAAGATTGAGATTACAAGAATTAGAAGTTTCGAGTTGAAGTTTCGCGACATGTGAATTTCGTTTCATGATACGTCATTGTTCATTCCACCAATTGTGAGTTTGTTTGAAATGTTGTTGAGTTATAATGTATTAGTGTTTAGTCGCAATCTGATTATGTGTTGCTCAGGATCTTATAAAAAAAAAATTGCTAATATTATTAGAACTCTACCTTTTACCCTCTCTGATTTGATGCTTTACCACGTAACATGACCTGGTTTAGCATGAAATCATCTCTCACCAAGCTCAACGTGGGCAATATTGATCACTCAATTAATTCCTGTAAATGCAGAGTGGAGGAGGGCGATACATTGTACAAACTGGAAGGAGAGACGGGACAGTTTCGCTTGCAAAGAATGTGAATCTCCCAGCTCCTTCAATATCAGTCTCAAATTCCATCAATGCATTCTCCAAGAAAGGGCTTAGCGTAGTGGACATGGTTTATCTTCTTGGTAATTACTTCACATTTCAAACTGCATGCGAATTCTACTCCACATATATTGGACATGCAAATTATGAAAACTTCTACTATTACTAATTAGTAACAAGACCTTCTTTACTAACATAGTAGCAATTTGACACTATCCCTTAAAAAAATGCACAAGCTGCTTATGAGTGTAAATTTATCCCCAAAAAATTTGTATATGGAGTCGAGCAACAAATCTAAAAGTTGATCAGAATAGAAATGGAAAGTATCAGAAGGTTGATTGATTTTTTTTTTTTTTTGTTTATATAAAGGTGGCCATACTGTGGGAGTTGCTCATTGTTCCCTCTTCCAAGATCGTCTGTACAATTTCCAAAACAGTGGTCAACCTGATAATACCATGAGCCCATCGCTATTATTTTTCCTGAGAACGAGATGTCCTCAGAATGCAACAATTGATAACACAGCTAATCTTGATCAGAACCCTTTGAGTTCGTCAATTGTCGACAACTCTTATTATCAGCAAATAATGTTGCACAGAGGAGTTCTTCAAATTGATCAAGAATTGGCACAGGATCCATCAACCAGGGGCTTAGTAACTGCAATAGCAAAGGGGGTCGATTTTTCCACTAAGTTTGGTCAAGCCTTGATTAATTTGGGTGCTGTCCAAGTCCTCACAGGTAGTCAAGGACAAATTAGGACGTCATGCAGGGCAGTCAATACGAAATGACAAAATCGACAAGTTTTTCCAAAAAAAAAAAACTTCCTGCAAAATTTTGTGTTTTTTTTTTCATTTCTAAATTTCATATTGTTCCATCTGGTTTCTTCATTCAAGAATGTGTAATATTCATGATTTTTTCTCCTTTTAAAATTGATGGATGATGTATTTCAATTATGTACTTTAACAATGTTTCTGTCCAATACAAACAGCAATAAACTCTTAACTTACGTTTGCATTTGTTACATTTTCAACTTATTTCCTTTGAAAGCTTCTGCTGTGGTATCGTGGGACAATTAGATATAATTTGCAAAATTAAATCTTCATTTCAGATTAAGAATATGGCCAACTGTAGCCTTCGACCGACTTCTATAGTTTATGGTTTGAAAATTTTTTCT